ATGAAGATCTAAATGAGGTAGTCTATATAAGCCAACCCGAAGGTTTCATAAACCAAGGAGAAGAGAACCGAGTGTATAAACTTCATAAGGCGTTATATGGTCTACGACAAGCTCCTAGAGCTTGGAATGTGAAGCTTGATCACGTCTTGAAGAAGATGAGCTTTAAGAGATGCGTGAAGGAGTCGTCGATATACCTCAAGAAAACCGAGAAAGATATATTGATCCTGGCGATTTATGTCGATGAATTGTTTGTCACGGGAACTACACAGGAGGTCATTGATCAATTCACGAAAGATATGTCGAGAGAGGTTGAGATGTCGGATATTGGAAAGCTAACATACTATCTTGATATTGAAGTACTTCAAGGAGCAGATGGGATTCAAATAAAACAAGAGAGATGTGCTCCAAGAATATTTGTGGATACTAAGATGGATTCATGTAATTTGACTCATGTTCCAATGGAGTCAAATTTGAAGATCTTAAAAGTTGAGAATAAGCTTACATTTTAAAAGAGACGGGTCAAGGAGAGTGATCGGATATAGTGATAGTAGTCATAATGTTGATGTAGATGACAGTAGAAGTACTTCAAGACATGTCTTCAATCACGACTCGTCACTAATCACATGGACTTCGCAAAAGCAACCCACTGTTGCATTATCGTCATGTGAAGCAGAGTTTATGGAAGCGACGGAAGCTGCAAAGCAAGCTATATGGCTTAAGGAGATTCTTTGTACAGACGAGAAGGTCATACTAAAGATCGACAACAAGTTAACCATTGCTCGTACTAAGAATCCAATGTTTCATGGAAGGAGTAAGCACATACTCTCTAAATACCATTTCATCCAAGAGTGTGTGGAGAATGAGCAAATTGAAGTGGAGCATGTGCCCGGAGTGGAGGAAAAGGCGAACATACTTACCAAGCCGTTGGCGAGAATCAAGTTCAAAGAGATGATGAGTCTAATCGGAGTTGAAGAGATCAAGCTTCCCGAAATTCAAGTTGGAATTAAGGGGGAGAATGTTGGATAATTCCATTACTTGAAGAAGAAGAAATCTCTTTTGAGAAATTGCTAGAAGAGATAGAAAAAAGGAAATGCAAATAAGATCAAGTAGGATAAGTTTTGTAAGTTTTCCTTTTCATAATAGAATTAGGAGAAGTTAAGTTGTATATATATAAGAGGCTTTGGAGAGTTGTTTGATAAGACCTTGAGAGAGATTTAGTTTTGAGCTAGAAGTTTCTAAATCAGTAAAGAAAAGTTGTTCTTTAATCTTTCAAGTTCTAGTATAAGTTGATACGTTGAATTACTTCTTGAATCATTCAGCGACTACTTCATAGTAGGTGATCCTGATTTGAGCCATCAGATTCACCCGATATTTGCTGCACGCGCTAAGTTCAGTAAACCGTTTTTGAACCCTTGACACATGTCCACTTTTGTATTGGGATTCGAATGGGAGTTTAACTCGAGGACAACTCTTGAAGTGATGTTCTCCAATCGTCATCCTGCAACTTTTGCTTTGGAATACTAATTGTCAAAGTCTCAATGTTTCCTTAAGGTTTCTGGTGACGTCAACTCCAACAGAGTTGGTGTTTCTTTGGCATTTATTCATCCGTCTTCTATCTTCTAGTTAAGGTTCTTCTTAGATTAACGGTGTAAACTTATGTTTTTGTGTTGATAAAACTTATGTCTTCTAGATAAGGTTCCTCTTAGATTAATGGTGTTAAGTAATGTTCTTGTGTTGATACAACTTATGCCATCTAGATAAGGTTCTTCTTCGATTAATGGTGTTAACTTATGTTTTTGCTATGCATGTTCGGTTAGTTTCTTCTAGCTTTAATCAAGTTGGATGTTTGTTTTATGTTATGAGTTAGCTAGAGAGATGAAAATGAGGTTTCCTCCAAGAATATATAAGTCACGGCAGAGTGTTTTTTCTACCTGAGCCTGATAGTCCAAGTTATTGCAGTCCAGAAGAAAGTACGGATTGATTATGAAAATAATAAACTGAAAACGAACGGACTTACTGTTTCCTAACTTGACCAATCAATAAGAAATGATCCTTGGATAAAAAGAAACTCTTGATTTATCAAAAAAAAAACTCTTGATTTGATACCATAGTATCAAATCCGTAGTTGCTTTGCACATCTTCATTCGGAGTCATATTTATGTATTCTAATCATGGATATCCACATACCGCAGTTGTTTGGTTTGACTAAAAGGTGATTAGAGTAGAATGTAGAGATTTCAATTTTTTAAATCGTTAAAATCTAATTTTCTCGAAGCACACTTTAATATACTATCAGTTTTAAAAACATTTTTTAATTTTCTCACATCTAATTTTTTTTTTTTACTTATTTACATTTCTTTTTCTAATCTACAATTTATAACTCGGCAAAAAAAAAACCTACAACTGAAATTTTTTATTAATTTAAATTACAATTGTATTTTTTTTTTTTTTGGCAAAGAAATTACAATTGTTAAAGTTCTTAAAATCACAGTTATTTAGAAGTCACGACTGTGCATCAACCAACTTGGCTTCGAAAACTTCTTTTTAATGACCTAGTAAATTGAATAAAATTTCAGTTTGCAGGGAAAAAAAAAGATTAAAAGTCACGACTGGTCACCAATAAACCCTTAATTTATTTATATTTATTTTTATATATTTTTAGTCGAATTTTAATAGGATTTAAAAATAAATTAAAAATAAAATCTGCCATACGCAAATCCTTTTTTTCTTTTTAAGTTTTAACCTTTAAAATTGGGTCGAACCCGGTTTGCTTCTCTTTTTTATGTCAACGTGACGAATCGATCGAGTCTAGCTAGGGCTTGATATCAGAGAACGATGAAGATTACAGGTGAGGGCGAGTGCTTTTCTTTTTCCCATTTTTGTGTCGTCCACATAATTTGTTTATTACTAATACTCAATCGTATCTGCTTTTTAATTTGAGTTTGTTCTTCTCTAGTTATAACCTTGTTAATTGTTTTTTTTGTTTGTTCTTCATTAGATGTCCAAGACTAATTATGATTCTGATTTCTGATTCTGATAGGTATGGATAAAGGTGGGTGTGATAGATGCTTATCAAAGTCTTCTCCACTACCTATGGATAAAGGTGGGTGTGATAAATGCTTATCAGAGTCTTCTCCACTAGCTATCACCACTTGCGGTCACAAATTCTGCGGTGAGATTCTTTACTTAAGTCTTATTCAAACTGGATTCTGAATTAGTCTCAATATCCAAACCCATAATTGGTGTTGTTTCTTGAATTGGCATGCAGTGAAATGTATCTTGTACTTGTGGACACGTAAGCAGAAAGTTACAGAACATTGCATATGTCCTGTTGATGGAGTTAAAATGACATGGTTACGTCCTTGTATACTTCCTGAACCTGAAGAGATTAGGTCCATTGTCTCCTTATATAACCGTTTCTTCCGACCAAAGAAAACCCCGGTAAACAAATCTGTTTTCATACTTCTTTTTCTTTTATCTACTACAATACAATTTCAATGCCTTAACCTTAAGTAATTTCTTTTTTCCAATGCATTTTAGGATGTGGCTCAGTCACAACTTGGTAAGTTCTTGACATGTTTTGCTTTTCTTGGTTTTTTTTTTCTTGTTGAATCTAACTGTCTTGTTGGCTCACCATTTTTGTAGTGGGTTTCATGGCAGGGCTCTTCAAGGTTCATATAGCTCTTTTGCTCATTGGAACATATGCTTACGCCATCCATCATTCGTAGTTCAATAATGCTTTGGATCATTGGATTTGCTCTCTCATGTTTGAAGGCTCTGTCCATTTTACTCTTTTGTTTATGTTTTAAAATTTCTAGTGTTGCCTTGTTTGATAGTCTAGGCCTGGGAGTTCGGTGAAATCGGGTTATTCGGGTCGGGTTAATCGGTTTTGGGAAAATTCGGTTTTTGAAAAATCCTCCCGAATTGAACCGAAATTAAATTCGGTTCGGGTCAATCGGTACTCGGGTTATTCGGTTCGGTTATAAGGATTAAAAATAATTCCGAATTAAACTGATTTTTTTTCTATTTCGGTTTATTTTAACCGAATTACAAAAATATATGAATAATGGGCTAAAAACAAAGCCCAAACCCATTACAATCATTTAAATGCATTAAAAAAAATTACAAACCCAATTAAAATTAAGAAATTTACAGCCCAACCCATTAAAAACTAGGGTTTTCGACACATTTGTTGACAGTGACGAAGCAGCGACGGGTGGAGACGGACGGCGACGGTAATCTCTCCAACTGCAAAAAAAATATATCACCGACGAGATCTATTAGATATTATAACTATAACCACATGCAATCTATCATCTAAATTGAGAAAATTAGGAAAATAAAAGTTTAAAAATTGAAATTCCTAAGAAGATTAGTAAGATCTAGAGAGTTACCCGTAAATCCGTAAATCCGTAAATCCAGCTGAGATTTTGGTGATATGGAAGAGCTTAGCGAGCAAACAACAAAGAATCACACGATTAAAGAGAAAAAAGAAGAGTATAATAAAGCATGTAGACGATGATGAATTGATGAAGAAGAAGAAACGTTATATTGATTATGGATTTGGTCGAAGAAGAAGATGAACTCTCTGATTGAGTTTTGGAAGAGGTAGAGCCGCAGAGGCAGATCCAAAGAAGAAAATGAAACTAAATTAGGGTTAATGACACATTAGCCTTATATATGGCTGCAGATTCTCGGTTTAGATAAAACCGATCGACCCGAATACCGAACCGACCCGAACCGACTTCCGATTCCCCAAATTAATTTCGCCGAACGGTTTGGAGTTCTCTCTTCGGTCTACGCCGATAACCGAAATTTTCGGTTTGATCGGGTCGGTTTGATCGGTTTATTCCGAACTCCCAGGCCTATTTGATACTTGTTCTTGTGTGACATTTGGCTTGTTCAGATTGGAAAAAGAAAATATCTGATTATCTTTGGAGAGAAACATGCTGTGATGAAAAAACATACAATTTTGCTGAAAGAAACACAGATGTGATCACTAATCAAAACTTGTTTTTTTGCTAATTGCTAGCAACATGGAGCTATTTTCTGTACATAACTATATCATCTCAACACTATTTCACCTCACACACTGTATCGTATTATGCTTCGCTTGCGCTAGACTCATGAAGAAATCGATGAATACCTGCTCATAATCCGGCATCTTTCCATACCCTGCAGCAATTCAATCGCAAACCGTTAATAACATTACTTATCAATGCGTATTTTGATTGAGCCACGGAGAATTCCATTAAAGAACATGCCAGGAAAATAGTTGATGTCAATGACATAAAACACATCTCTGCTCCCATGTTCTCTGATCATATCTATGTTGAACAGCCTGAGTCCCTACACACCAGAAACCAGACTCTTACTTACAATGGGAAAACAGAGCTAGATTCTATTAGACTTATATGATTCACATACCAATCGGTTTCGTAATTCTCTCACAAGCCCCTCGAGCAAAGGCTTTGGAGGTAGCTCTGCAGCAACAATTTACACATAAACACAGCTACAAATCCAATGCAGTGAATCTCTTTTTTCACAAGCGGAATAAGATCCTAACCAGCAACACGAGGGTCCAAGTCTGTTTTGTCTACTGAAGCTGCAGAAGATGATACCCTCGGGAATTGAAATACACCAGCAACTTTTTCTTTTTCACAATTGCTTACATTGGGTAGAGAAAACCGACGGACCACTTTTATCACATCACCAACAACAAAAACCTTGAAGAGAACTCCACCTTCAGGCATAAAAAGTGTGTGAACAAGCAATATCTCACAACAGATATTGAAGTGTAACGAAAACCCGATACCATGATTCACAAATTCTTGAAGAACCAAAGGTGGTTCAAGCTCTGCAAGCGAGAGGCGGTCGTAGGCTAAGAACAATTGATGTGACTTTGCAGTTCCATCAACCAAAAGTGGCTTTGCAACTGGACAGGTACACCAGAATATGCTTTAATCGACTGTAAGCATTTTACAGTAGCTGTTTACAAGAAAACTAAGAATGAAAACTTAAGATGCGGGTAGTACTTATACCTAATGGAAAATTTAGACCGGCTTCTGCTACTTCATTAGCGCTAGATGTTGTATCTTTTAATACCACCATTTGTTTTGGAACACATATCATGCCTATAAAGAAAAAACAACAGCATTTCATGAAAACCTGTGGAGTTTCTTACTCTATAGAACACACGAGAATTGGAGTTTTCATATGGAAATTACCATCGCAATCTGCAAGATTTATATCAGCAATGCCCTGGAGCATTGATTGTCGATTATATATACGCTCGATTGCACATGGAGGATCAAGGACAGTCACTTCTGGATGTTTTTGCTGGTATTCCTACAAATGCAGATAGGAGATGTAAACATAAGCTGCTCTGTAAGTTATGGACAGAATGGTACTATTCAAACATAATGAGAAAATCGTTCATATCGGACAGATATCTCCCAGATACTAATCCTAGTTCAGTTCAATAAATGAACAAGGTGAGAACCAAGTTGCTCTGAATCTCCAAATTAAAGGAGAGCGTTTCCTATTTGATAAATTGACTACTAAGATAGTAGAAAGAATCACATGAATGGGTTAAAACTAGCATCAGTAGTTACAGCAGAAATCAAACTAAAGTTCCAAGAGCAAGAAAATATTACAGTAAAGGCAGACAGTTTGTCAAACCTCAATAACATCATGCCACTCATTTCCCAGCAACTGCAAGCCAACAAGCATATAATCCCTTAGATTCCAATCCATACTCAACTTTCCAACAACTAAAGGATAGATGCTCCAAGTATGAAGCACAATTCACGCAAAAGCATTGTTTCGTGCCTACAAACCTTATGCAAAACGACATCGAATGGGCCTTGTTCGGAGAGTGGCTTGTCCTGGTCAATTGAAACAAAGGAAATGCCTTTTTTCCTATAAACACAAATAAGAGTAGCTAATGTCAACATCTAGGGTACTGTTTTGACTAGTATCTACAAGTATGGGAAAAAGGAGAACCAAAGTTCTTAGTTTTTAAATCATAAGTTAAGTCCTGTAGACATTTTGACCTCCTAGTGGAAACTAATCCCAAAGAATTGTATAAAAAGGAATATTCCAAGAGCAACAAGAGATTCCTGATGCCACAAGCATACACTAGTGCAAGAAGTAGATTTATGAACAAAACATGGCAAACAGCAATAAAACCAATAATAAAAACAGTGTCCTCCACAGACCACAGTACCAAACTGGCCATACACAAGACACATGAAAAGTAAAATGGCACATGATCTAATTCAACTAAAATGATTGCCCCCACAATTTCTTCACACAGTTCCTTGAGAAAGATTTTTTTTCCTTGAGAAAGATGAAAACAAGAAATAAGAAATAACATACCTAGCAAGAACTTCAAGCTTGGGTTGCAAGAAACTCATCTTCTTCTTAGAAGTCAAAGCATACCCAATAACCAGTTTCTTCTGCTGTTGCTGTACTTGTTCAAACGACGTCGTATCAATTCCCACTTCACCGTCGTCTGTCTCATTTCCCTTTGGCATAATATTATTATCTCGCATACCTAGTTTCTTCAAAAACCCTCAAGCACACACAATCCCCCAAAACCCGTTGACTCAATCACACAGTTTCTATTTCGGATTGAGAAGACCCAAAATGAAAATCCCTCAAAGATAGAATATTTCTTCACTTACGAGTAGATTGATCACTGCTTCGCAAATAACATGAGAGAAAGATGTAATCTTTACCCAAAATCAAAGCTGAAGAAATCGGAGAAGACAGAGAGAGAGAGAGAGAGAGAGATTCAACGGAGGAGTCAAAAAGGAAGAATCTTTACCCAATTTAAAAACCTGAAACGAGAAATTGGAGAAAAGGGTTTCTAATTTGTAATCTGAATAGAGAAAAACAAAAGGAGAGATTTTTGATGAAAATAGTTTCGTTTCGAAGCTTCTTAGAAACTTTTTTTTTTGGTTTTGGGATTTTTTTTTTTGTTTCTCTGCAATGTCTCCGACTTTCTTCTACTTGCTCTGGCCCCATAATTTCCCACGTGGCTCAAACATTTTTTTTTTGTGTTAAACTGCAGAAGCTTACAAAATAAAAAAGGGAGACTCACAAAAATGCCCTTTTTTCAATATCCTTTTTCAAAAATACCCTTTTTTTAAAACCTTATAAAAAATGCTCTTAAAAATATAAGATTTACCCAAATATGTATGTAATATTATTAAAACATACACAAACTACATTTCTATGTATCTAAAATCTTATAAATACTTTATAAATACCTTATAAATGCCTTTAAAAACCTTTAAAATATCTTGTAAAACCTTTGAAAAACCTTAAAAAACCTTAAAAATCCTTTAAAATAACTTGTAAAACCTTTAAAAACACCTTATAAAACCTTATAAATACTTGGATCGAGTCTTCAAGTAGTAGTTACAATCCATAAGTACCTTATAAACCTAATAAAACTTTATAAAAATTTCAAATTTAAAAAGGGGCATTTTTGAAAATAGACATCTAAAAGGGGCATTTTTGAAAAGGGGCACACCAAAAGGGGTATTTTTAACAATTTCTCAATAAAAAATGGGATTTTTGCAGTATATCTTAGATTTTGATTCTAATAATTTATTTATTACACTCTAAAAAAGTTTCATTTCAAATGATTTAATATACCGCGGAACGATTTGTTTTTAAAATTAATATTTTTTAAAATTTATTCGATATATATTATATATAAAAGTTGCAAACTGTATCACTTTATAAGACCTTTATATTTTCTAATTTACAATTATTAAATAATGCTTTTTTTGAGCAAAAAATAATGGTATACCACGGAATGTCTGATATTGATGGTGTTAAAAAATAATAAAATAAAGATTTAGGCCGTATTGAATTTTAAAAAAAAAAATTGATTCAAACCCGTCCCATTATATAACCATGTCATGCAATATAATCATCTCGTTACTTTAACTCTTTATCTATGTTCAAATGTTCTTAATATTATAAACTTTTTATTGATTTTAAATATATAAATTATAATATTTACAACTTCTTAAAAATTTGTCACGCCATATAACCCTGTCTCGCAATATAACTCGTCCCGTGTTATTGTAACTCTTTTATATATATTCAAATGTTTATAATATTAAAAACTTTATATTGATTTTAAATATATGAATTATACTATTTAAAACTTTTTAAAAGTCTAAAATTAAATATTTCCGGTAAAATTAAGCAGTTAAACTAAAAACTAAATTAAACGGTATACAAGCTTTTAAATTTGGGTGTTTATTAAATTAAACTTCCTATTCACTCAGATTTGAATTCATTTTGATCTTATTTATAACATGACTAGATCCTGACCCGCACGTATAGATTCTGAATCACTGTCTAAACATTTTAGCCAATACGGGACGTTGAATACACACTTTTTCCATCAATTGGGTAATATATATCTGTTTTTAAAATTTCGAATCACAATATATGCAGAAAAAATATTAAGATTCTTTTTGACTTTATGTATATATGGTGATTCAAAATAGTTTAAAAAAAAGTTCAAATAAAGATGATAGGAGAATCGTAATTTTAAATCTTAACCAAATCTTATAAATATCGATATTTTCAATATGTAATAGCCAGTTCACAATTTCGGATAAGTTTTGACCCGATCCAAAGAAAAATATGGAATATCCGATGTAAGATTTTGAAGTAATTTTTGTATCGGGTCGGGTACCAAAAATCTCGGATAAATTTTTAACCCATCCGGTACAAAATGTACTTCAAAAATACTAGTATAGATTTTACAAGTCGTTTAGGTTTGAATAACACTTGATTTTAAGGAAGTATTTTAAATCTTAGTTGAATAACACCTAACTTTAAAATCTATTAAACATGATTTACAAATATAAGATCTAATAACACCATATTTTAAAGATAGGTTTAGAATCATTAGGTGAATAACACTCGATTAGTGTTGGATTTGAATTCTATTAAAATCCGTCATTGAATAACACCACCTAAATATATATCATGTTAAAAATTGGAAAATCCCACACTTTTATTAAAACCAGTGGATCAAATTGTAATGCGGTTTAAATGTTTGTTACCGGTGAGGGCTTATGTTTCTATATATTTTCAATGAAAAGGTAGTCAAACACTTTAAAACATTCACGATTGCATCGTTAAGAATTACACTTTATTTATTAAATTTGAGGAGAACGTTTTGAAGCCAAAAAATTATGAGATGGAGCAGATAGAGGGAAGATGGTAGGAGAATGAAAATATGGGCAAATTATGAACAGTAAACTGCCTAATTTGCTAATTAACTTTCCAAAACTTGCCAACACATCCTAATCTACTTAACATTTTTGAAGTACATATTTGCTCCTCCAATTAGGTCGGAATTTTTTCTGATTTTGATCCGGAATCTTCAATCGGATATTTCCTTAAATTGTGGCAAATTTTAAAAACAAAATTAGTTAATAAAATCTAAAATATAAAATATATATATTTTCTCAACTAATTACTATAACTAAACACTTTATTTATTGTATATTCTTTACGATTTTCATAGATAAGGAAATCAGATATGATGATTTAATGCTAATATAACAAATTTGAGCTAATTTCTTAAAACTTCTCTACCTAATTTAAACATAAATATATGATTCTCATTTCACTTTTATTTGATTTTATATTTATATTATTTGAATTATTATAAAATATATATAGTTACTAAATTTTAGTTTTTTCTTCTGCATAAGTTATTATTCAAATTTTTTAAAACGGACATATATTACTCAATCGATGAATAAAAAAATATGTGTGTAATCTATATTAACATTTTTGAAGAAAAAATTGCGGGTTTAATAGGTTGCTTTTTTTTATATTTTGACCCGAAATTGAGTTATTCGGATCTTTCCTTAATTTCTACAATTATCTAAAACGGGACAGTATACCATATGTGAAATCCTAAAATTAACTAATCAAAATACAATTATTTTGTATTTTAAGATACAACTATAAATTGTTTTTACGGATTGGTCTAAAAATACACTAATTAAAAAATTATATATTATAGAAACCATTTGAAAGCAAACTTTTAAATTGACTCGAACTATATGTTTTTTAAATATAAATGTTATTACAAAAAGTAACAAAATAATGTTTAATTTCACAGGACGGGATTATATGGTAGGACGGGTTTGGATCGATATTAATACGAGACAATTTACCACTGGTGAAATCTTAGAATTTATAAATCAAAATACAATTTTACAATCTTAAACACTAAACAAAACAAATACAACTTAAAATTTTAATTTTTTTAGATAAAACGCATGTGATCCGCGGTGTACAACAAAAAATATTATACACAACAAATTTATCAGTTTATAAAAAATAAAATAAAAATCAAATAATTAAACCGCGGTGTACCGCGGGTAATATCCTAGTTAAATAGACATAATCATAACATAAGTAACGATGTATAGGAAAATAAATTGAAAACAAATTTTCAGAAGAGAATATAAGCACATTATATTAAAGTAAATATATATCAGTGAAACAACGATTAAATTAACAAATAAGTTTCTTGCATGCATACCAAAAAAAACACAAAAATGAAAATCAAATCACATACAACCATTTACAAATTGCCATAAGTAAAAAAGATCATAGCTTCTTACAAATTCTTATTTGACTCATTGAAATCAATATGAGGAATTAGACGCCGCAAGCTAAAGTGGGGCCGCTTGGAAAGCACGCGAGAGATACAACGGAGAGAAAAGATAAAGTAAACAAACATTATCGCACTTAGAACCATTTAGAGATTGACATAAAGTAAACAAGATCGTAACTCTTTATAATTTCTGATTTACTCACTCAAACCACAAACAATAAAGAAAGAAGCTTTAAGCACCAAATAATGAAATTTGTAATTCTGTAACGAGGAACAAGGAAGAAATGTTGGGCACAAAAAATAGAAATAAATTTATAACAAAATCCACTCATGAAAACAGCAAACAAGAAAAAAAAAAAAAAAAAAAGCTTTGAGTGAATAGATGTTCAAAAACGAAAAAAGGAAGAAGCTTGTAGCTAATGGACGTCAAAATACCGAAAAAAGAAGGACCTTTTAAAGTTCAAAGATTCAACAATTGGTGAACAAGTAATAAAGGGTAGTTTGTTATGCCTTTAACGATGGTGGTAGTTGGTTATGACTGTAATCGAGAATCCATTTATGCAATGGGGCAGTTGTTATCTTGGTCATCGGCCATATCTTTATTGCTTAAAGTTGTGAACTTAACTGACCTGAAAATGTAAAAAATCTGATAATCAATGTTGTTGATTCAATGAAATTACTTTTGTTCTTTAAGAAAATTCAAAAATCTTATGATTTTTCTTTTTAATCAGTCTCTCTTCGTTCTAACTCCATCGTTCTGATTATGTACGTATGCAAAGAGAAAATGAAAGAGAAGAACGTCATTTTCAATTTCTCAATCATCGGATTCAATATCTTATGAGTCCCATAAATTGCCTCCCTTAATTCTTGGAGCATCTTCATAATTTGCTTGAATTGCAACGTTATTGTTGCTTTGTCTCTCATTGAATCGATTGGCTTTCATACCAAGTTGATAAGAGTCAAAGATTTCAACTTCGATCTCGTAACTGTAGCCTTTGTTAACGTGAGGAATAAGAAATAGATTTAAGCTACCTTCCTATTAACCCTAGTGTCTCTTGGAAACTAAGATTAATTCTTAGAAGTTCATTTCTTATTAATTAATAAGGACCCTTATATAGGCCTTCATACAACTTAAGCATAATCCTAACGCAAAAAATAAAACCAAATTCATATATCAAAACACCAAAACTAATTAATTAAAACGTCCTAACCATTACCCTAATCAACCTAACCATAGTCTCGTATCAGAAAAGTCCACTCCTCATAATGCCAATAAAGCTTACTATACGCAAAATTAGAGGACATGCGAGCACTTTTCGCTGGGTTCATTCTAGTAAGCTTAACGATACACTCGTGAACGTTTTGAAGTGTCTGAGTACACTTCCATCGCTCTTATGTTTCTATATATTTTTTTTGTTACTCTTTTTGTTTTTATTTGTTCACTAAATTTAACATTTACCAAAATGATATCCATTTCACTTAATTGTAAGATATGATGGCTTAGTGATGTATCCCATAAATGACGTACTTCCATCAAGTTGTTCATTGAAACAAAAGCCCGACGACTATGGGCGAGAACCACTCCTCTAAAATCCCGTAAGACCCAAGCTGCAGTGCTGCACCACCCATTTTTTTGTGCTTTGACCAAGAATAACCAATGTTACACTTCAACCAACCTTCTTGCGGAGCTCGTAACAGTGCATGAATGAGAAGTGATTGTGGTCTAGTCACTAGCAGCATTCACAACGGCACCATTTTATCCGGGATTGAGTATATTTTCTTCTATATTGTTAATTGGGCTGATGGATCGGCCCATGAAGGCCCTAAACTGAAGACAAAAAATGGGCATGAATATGATCCGTGTAAAGCCAGCTTAAAGGACACTGAGCCTCTAGAGTCAAAACGGAGCCAAGTTTCATCTAAAGATGGGAAAAACGAAGCAATACTGGTTACTCAAAACAGAGCCAAGTGAGTGGTCATGGTCAGACCAAGAAGCAAACGGCGGGATCAGCAAATGGGACGGTGTCAAGAACAAACAAGCCCAGAAGAATCTAAAGTCCATGACTTTAGGAGATCTCTGTTTCTTCTACCATTCAGGAACCAAATCAAGATGCGTCGTTGGCGTAGTTGAAGTATCACGTGAATGGTACACTGATGATGATGAAGGAGAAGGAGCGGTTGATGTTAAAGCGATTGGAGAAATGAGGAAATGTGTTGATTTGAAGGAAATGAAAGAAGACAAAGGGATTATTAAGGGTTTTGTTTTGTTTAGACAGCCGAGGTTGTCTGTTGTTCCTGTTGAGGAAGATGTTTGGAAAAAGATTTGTGATTTGGGAAATGGGTTTTGTGGAGATGGTAAGGAAGATTGTGAAAGTAGTGATGATGAGTCTTGAATTGGATTCTGTTATTGTATTATGTGATTGAAAGTTTAAAACTTTGTTAGGGTTTTGTGCTTTTTGCTTAATGATTGATTCATGGTGGTGATGCTATTGATGTTGGTTCTTTTGTTTTTTTTTCCGTTAAATTTGACTGGTGCATTTTGTCGAACATGTGGTGTGCAAGCAACTTTGTTAAATCTTGTGAGATTTTTTAATTTAAGAAAAACACAAAATTGTTGTTACATTTAGATAACTCGTAATATTTTGTGAGATTTTTAATTTAGAAAAAAACACAAAATTTGTGTTGTTACAAGAATATTTTATATCAAACATTGTCAATTATTCTAAAAAGATTTTATTGGTTAGTAGATTTTTGGAAAGTTTACTCTAAATAACCCAAAATCTTTGGTTTATTACTAATTAGGTGGGTAAATTTATCGGGGTATTAATACCAAAAGACCTTAAAAGCTAGTGGTTTTTACTAAAGGTGCCATTAAACCATCTAGGACGGTTTTGGAAGGAAAAATTTCCGATATATGATAAATCTGTGATTGTAGACTTACGATTAAGATAGAGTTGTTAGGTAGAGTAACTTATGTGGTAGATTAAAACGGTAGAGTGAAATATAGTTATGATAGAGATAATTGGAGTGGTAGACTCCATTCGCTATTTCGATCACTTTGATGGACTAGAGAAGATGAATGCAAAAGACCTCGATCCTCATCAAACATCGAATTATTAGCTTCATAAAATGCGCTTAGATTGATTTTTGATAAAGAAAAGCATTCTTAGATTTCTATAGTTGCCACATATTTATAGTCAAAAACTCAATAAATTTATATTGTATTTCAAATGTATTAATTTTAAATTAATTTCAATAATTTTATAGAATAAATTTTAAATTAATTTCAAGTATACAATTTACCTAGTGCTACATTAATATTAAACATGTGCATATATAACAAACAAAATGCAAAAGAAATTAAGGTAAAACGGTAAATGCCACAACACTGCTGATTTCTGCTGCAATAGCTCCGACTATAAATCCTGGTAAGTTTCCACCTCCAAATAACGCATCAATAGGACCAACTCCAAACGATACAATCATTTGTGGTATCACTATTGCCATGTTTAAAACTCCTAGAGAGAGTCCTGCAGAGATGACAAAAAAAAAAAGCACATCCTTATTAATTTGATATTTTCATATTTATGGAGATAATTGGAAATTAGTATCTCAATTACATTCTTTTGTATTCACAAGTTTTAATTAGCATTTACTATCAAAATGTAGGTTTAAATTAAAAAGAGAGTTTAAAATACCTTGGCCGGCACCGGAGCTACTTGAAATAATGGAGGCTAGTGCGAACGGAATACTGAATGTAATCTATAAAACATACCAAAAAATGGATTAATATTGACAAACAAAATACTGGATAATAATAGTAACAAAAAAACTTGAAAAAGAAAAGCTGTGGACTTACAGCAAGAGGAATTCCAAGAAGAGCAAAGAGAGTCAACGCTCCAGCTCTGATGCCATCAGTAGGAAGGGCCATCGGACCGGCGATTCTCCGGTGCTCCTCCGACTTTTTAGTAACCAAAACCGTCATAGCTAAACACACGGCAAGGATGATATTCACAGCTCCCCAAAGACTTTTAGCTCCTCCCATCTTCCTACTAAGACCTTCAATACCAAGCGACATGACTCCAAGAACGATAGAGTTAAGCATTAATCCCAACGCACCAACATGAATTCCTTGGTTGTATAGTTTCTTCAATTTGTCATCTCCTTTTGAGTCTCCACCGTACACTTCACGACCCATCCAATCGGTATCGTATAAAAGAAAAGGGAACCATGCGATCCAGTTCAAGGCCGTGACGATTAGTAGCATCCACATTGGACGTTTCATCACCTTGAAAGCTCCAAAGATCTCACCGAAGAAAGGAGTTTTCTCGTTGTCGGAGTCTGCCTTAGGCGACCATTGCTTGTCTTCCACGTACCAAAGAGCTATGATGGTGACGACTAGGAGGAGAGTGATGGAAATGAAGAAACAGCTCTTGAGATTTGCACAATAGATGTCACATGCTTTAGTCATTGTGAAAGGGAAGATCTTGTAGAGGTTAGTGTACGACCCGGCCGCGTATCCCAAAACGTTTCCAACGGCCATGAAGAAAGAGAAAAACGCGTTTGCTGTTCGCGTTTTCTTAGCGTCTCCAGCGGCTAAATCACCAAGAAAAGCGCGGCAAGGTCCTTGAAGAGTGTTGTTAGCCACGTCAAGGATCCAGAAACCGAAAGCGAAGATAACAACGGCTCGCATCTTGACAGGTTCGTCGATTTTGTCTCCCATGCTGTGGCTAAAATCAGCTGCGTAGGGCGCCCATGGCAATGAAAGGACGACGACGACCGAATCTTGACTGGCATCGGTCGCTGAAATAACCGGCGGATGGCTGGACAAGCAAGCCGGAGACAGGACCACAAAGCCATATGAAAGATGACCATTTGTGTGGGACTCCAAGAACTTGCACGTATGGAGTTAGCAAAGACAGCTGAAGAGCCCAACCGAACTGAATACCAGCGGCAATAGAAGCTACCGATATCATCTTTCTTAGTGGAGATGGCCCATCAAGAACCGCTGATGACGAGGAAGACTGTCTATCCACAGCTGCCACATCTTTTTTTGCTTGGAGGTCACTCATCTTCTTCACCTTGTCTTAGAGGTTGTGTTTTGTGTTTAGAAACGGGACTTGTCTCTTAAAGACAAGGTGAAGAAGAGGAATGAGATTTTATAAATGTTTTGATTCTGTGTTTCAATAATTTTTGAAAGTAAATCTTTTATAGTAAGGGTATAACGCAAATATCCTTATAGGATTGTTGTAATAATGACAAGACTAAAGTTAATATAACCGAAAACAGTTTATTTCTTATCCTTATATCATTTATTTTGTGATGGTGACAGATTTTTTTAATTTCTTGTTTCTGTAATATGATTTTTAATGATTAATTGAATAACAAGAGACTATAAATAATTTCGAATGATTTAAAATAAATTCTTTGGTCAATAACATAGGATTTGGAAAGATATTTAGAAAATCATTAGTTCAATAACAAGATATTTTAAAGAAAAACCAAAATCTTCTAAAAATTCTTAATTCAATACACCCTATAAATTTTGTAAAGTGCCATTTACAGCCATAAAGCTTTTGCAAAGACCAATGCCAATCATGCTCCAAAAAAAAAAAATCTTTTTGTTTTTACTCTAAATCTTGAATTTTTTTCAGCCTAACAATTTTTACTTTTAAAGTGGTGTAGGTTATTTTTACTTAGTTTCTCCCTCCTCTAGTTTTTTCTTTTCTCATGATTATTTTGTATGCTATATTTATATATGTACACTAGCCACTAGTCTCGACATATATAGGTAGAAGGATATATAACAATAATATAAATACTATGTATATTCTCGGTTGTTACGTATACTTATATGTATATATTTTGAACGAAAACTATGTATATATTTTGAACAACATTTTGAACGAAAAAACTTACACGTATATATTTTTTCAACTAATATGTAGTTAGTATATGAATAACATATAAAATATTTTATACATTTATACAAATTATTTATATGTTTATATAGATTCCATTTAACTTATATGTGCATAATACAATTTGTGTTGTTGTTTATTATATAATTGTTATTAAATAATTTTATTAACTATAATATCTAATTTTATAATTTAAGAAAAGGTAATTTATAAATACTAAATTTAAGTATTTACTAAGCATACTATTTAGTTACAGCTAATAAATTTACAGCCAAAATTCTATATTCCTAAACTCTACAAGTACAACCAAAATTTTACACATACAGCTTACAAACTTACAACAAACTTCTACGATAAATAATCTACAGCTACAGCCTAACCAATCACCCACAAAATCTAAAGAAATCCAATGTTAATCGGACAAACAAAAGATAATAACAAGATTCAGAGTTTTCTCTCTCTCAAAGAATTCGAGAGAAGAGTTTTAGTTTAAGGTTAAGAGTTTATGGTTTATGGTTTATGCTTTGATTTTAGGGTTTGTTCTAGTATTCTCATTATTTAAGGTTTGAAAAAGTATTGTTTTAAGTTTCTATAATTAATGTCAAACATAATATTTTTTTTTTAAATGTAAACTTAACATTTTATGAGTTGTATGAAAAGCTTAGCGAAAGAATTCGAATTTGTAAGATTCAACCGTTTAAAAGTCATTTTAACAAAATCTCTTTTAATCATTTAAATCTGTATAATACCAAAAACATGAAGTTACATCAGAGTCTTCAGGTTACAAAGATTAAAGTAATAACATACGTTACACATTTTGAAGTTCAAAACATAACAAAAGAAGATAAAACAAAAGAAGATAACTCTCGTTTTCCACCGGATCGAAGACTGTTTTGATTCCGGTGCCTGGAAGTGCCCGACGACAAGAGAATCTGCAGGCAGCGGATTTTAGGACAGATTCGTTAGGGTTAGATTCTTCTTTGTTGTGTAGGTTGTACCGGTCAAACCGGGTTTTATCTGATCTCAATTTCTGTAAACCACCTTCTTATTCCCGGTTTGGGTTTTTATATTAAAAAAAAAAAAAAAAAAAAAAAAAAAAAAAAAAAAAAAAGAAAAAAGAAGAACATAGCTTTTCCTCAAAGATACAATCCCATCATGGTTCGCTGTAACGGGTTACGTAGTCTCAATCATCACAATTCCACACATCTTCCATCACCTCAAATGGTACCATATTTTGACCATGTACATGATTGCCCCTGTCTTAACCTTTCTAAATGCTTACGGTTGCGGACTCACTAAGAGCATCTCCAATAGTGAGAACCCTTCATGGGGTTCTCACCATTTTTTAAGTTTAATTTTTGCTTTTATCATACTTAAGAACTTGAATTGGAGTCTTTAAGTTTTGTCTTCTCCAATGGTGGAGTTCTTAAGGAAAATTTTCAATTTTGTAAAACAATACATATATGTTTTTGTTTACAATACATATTTGATTTTACTCGGTACAAGACATTGAAAATGTACAATCAATCAAGAGAGTACTAGAAACATTACAACCAATGAACACCATTGCGCAGAGACATTAAAGTAGTTGCACAAGCTTGACGTTACACCATTGCCCACTCCACCAACAAGCCTTCTAATTCTAAATGTTGAGTTAAGACCAGCATTACGCCTTGCTCTGACAACGCCTTTTACGATTGATAAACGTCTCTTGTTCTCAGGCACTTCCTGTTCAAACAAAGTAAATGGCAAGCCTATGATAGGTTTCATAAAGAAGATGAAAGATAGCTTGATACCATTCCCACAAGAAAAAGAAATTACAATCTAGGCAAACTATAATCCCATCAAAAACAATGAAAACGTATCACCACATATATCAATACAAAAGGAACAAAGTCACAAACGTATCACCACATATATCAGTTGATACAACAAAAACATTCAATTCATGACATTTTACATTGTAATTATTCAAAAACCTGACTTGGGCAATAAAAGATTGCACAATGTAAGAAGAACATGAAACGGATCTATCTACTGCAACAATTCAATTCACCACCACAAAACTAGCAAAATATACTCATTAGGAATGATAATTCAGAAAATTTACATAATTTACATAAGGTTAAGCTTCTGGATTTCCTGGGGAAAAGGACTAGATTCATACCATTAGAAACAAACTGGAGCTTCCTTCATCGATTACTCTCTGATTCGCAAGTTATGGATCTCCGATTTGCTTAATCTCCCATTACCGATGGTGAGCAGCGGCTCTAGAGATGACGAATCCGGCCGAACGCACACTCATACACCATAATTTCTTCCTTAAATCTACCATCAATCGCCAAAATCGTCGGACAAAATCTCGTGTTAGCCATCGCCGCTCTCGCCAAAAGAGAGAAAGTGAGATTGTCGGGGAAAATAAATGGAAGAAGAGTGAAACATGTTTTTTTTTTTGTTAAAAATCGTCCACCACTAAAACAGTGACACGTGTGCGTCTCTCTTGATTTCCCAAAACCCTCTGCAGAGAACCAGCTCTCTCCTCAATTATGTTTTCTGATTTAATTTTAATCAATTTTAATCAGTTTTAAGCAGAGAGACTTAGAAGAGAGCTCCAATTGGAGCTGCTCTTAGTGGTCCTTAGTGTGACAATATATGCTGATATCCTTGCCGGGAAAACGAAGAATTATGTCACATATGACAATTACGAGGAAGATCTGCAATAAAAACCAATAGGTTGATTAAAATTGATGACACATTATGTTGAACAATGCCCTAGCTTGCAAGAGGGACATCGACTTTTGCTTTGAATGTTTTCCCATATTTCATTTGGAATCATACATATAAAAGTAGGGTTTCACTCTCTCCTTATTGGGCCACTTGGCATTTATTTTTATATTTTTTCAAAAATCTATATATATATATTAATTTCTAATTAACTCACTTTAAAGCTCATGTGTAACTCCACATTTAAATTCATTTGTAACTCTTCCACTAATATACATTAACTATTTGAAAATTGTATTGACTATAATTTAAACTCTATATTTAAACCTCAATTGTAACTCCTACCAATAAATAATAATTTGTAACTCTTAGTCAATAATTATAAGAGTTTTTCCACTTCTCATCTATAAATATTCATTCTCTTAGTCTTATCATCTTCCTCCATATTTTCAAATCTATAAATTTACTTTATTTTTATGTTGTTGCATGAGTTAAAAACAATTGTGCCATATTGATGGTAAGAGTTTGGTTGTAAAATTTATTTTTAGAGATTATATGATATGTAATTTATATTGTATTCGATTTTTATTTTGTTTATTTTATTTTTAGAAGTTATATGGTACATATGTAGTTTATATTGTATTCAATTTTATTTTGTTTCTACCGTATTACAAGAATGTATTTCTTTCATCTTTAGTTACTATAATATTTATCTGTTTTTCCAATTAATCTATGGAAGTTCAAAAGCTCACTATTTTAATATTCACACAACAAGTGAATCAAATTGAAATGATCTATCTTCTTTTTCCACTATTGGTGTATGATTATTCTCTTTATATACTTATTTAAGAAAAATCATTATTCGATATTTAAAATTTTTTAAGGCATTTCTAAAGTATATGTTCCGACATGTAGTTATATAAATATCATTATAGTATTTTTTAGCGTATTCAAGGTTTATGGTTAAGATTACTTTTTCCACCAAAATTAAACTAATAAAATCAGTTAGATAATCCATAGCAAATGTTTGAATATCATGTTAATAAAAAACATGTGAAAAACAATATATTTAATGAAAAATGTACGATATCTAAATAAGTTATTTTTAAAAAAAATTGAATATATTAGAATTTATAATTAATAAAATATAAGATGGTAGATCTATCTGGAAAATACACTATTCTTTATATATGTTTTCTATAACGATATACAAATAATTTAAAACATTTCGAGTTGTACGTAATAAGTAATGTTAATAAGAATTTGTGTGATAATATTAAAAACATAATTTTCTTTTAGTTTTCATTTTAAATTCTTTTTTATAATAAAAATGTAACAAGTCACGCGTAGCGTGGCTACATTCATCGATCTATATTAATAGAAAGTTTTTTGTTTTCGCGAAAGCCCCGGTCCACCACACCATCAAGTGAACTATGGCTTGGGACATCAAAATAAAAGATGCATCCATATTTTAAAACAAAACTATAGGCTTTTTATGTAAAAGTAGATATTATAGATTTTTTTTATAAATATAAATTCATATTTGTTGGACTTTATTTTCACCATACCTCTTGGGCTTTAAGTCTTTAAATTAATAAAACGTTAATTAATTGTCTTGTTAATGAATGTTGTTTAATAAAAATTTTGTATTTTTAAAAAGTAAAATTCTAAACTCTCTCTCTCCAAAAAATTTCTGAATCTCTCTCAGAATTGGATCTGAACTCCGACGATTTTTTTCTCATCATGTCAAATCCTCCTGAGCCGGAGCCGGTGGTGAATCCGCCGGTGAACTTGCAATACATGGCCATACCGAATTCAAATGCAGGACAACTAAATCATGTGGTAAACACAGTTCGATTTGAAATCTACTTAGATCTATTGCTTTGATATACGCACAAAGATTTGGTTAGCTATCTTCGAATCTATAGAGAGATTAGGTTTAGCTATCTTCGAATCTATGGAGAGATTAGGTTAGCTATCTTCGAAACAATAGATCTCAGATCCAATTTGCTTGGCTATCTTCGAATCTATAGATTTACAATAGGTACGTGCGTGAACTTTGATTACAAAATCAAAAACTTTGCTTTGATTAATCAAATAAATATCTACAGTTGCAGTTTTAAATTATAGATTAGCATTTGTTTCATATATCATAGTTGGTAAAGTCGTAAAGGGCATGCAATTTTTAGAAGAAAAAGTGTAAATAAAATTATATTTAAAGAATATAAGTTTTTTTTTTCTCTTTTTACAAACTGTTTATGAAATTAAAAGCTTTAAAGCGGATCTATAAATTTATACTATGATTTTTTGTACCATTATTATTTGTAGTTTTGCAAAAAAATGTTATAGAGCATAAGTTTTTTTTTATTTGCATAGGCATTCGAAAATATCGGATCGGCTCTGTGTGAAATTAGTTCATAATCATTTCACGCTTATCATCGTCTTCTTCATCATCGCATTAAACAATAATGGCGAACGCAAACGTAATCAATGAAGTGAACATAATGCTTTACGAGATGTTTCTCCTTGAGATTGAAGTATATTCGAATTTGTTTTCAGTGCAATTCTCAATTTCAATTTTGCTTGCATTATAGTACAACTCGTTGATTCTCGATTTTTCATTCAATCTTGGGTATTTTTTATACTGTTCGAATCGAAGATCGAGCCTCTTTTCTTGTATATATTGCTGCTGAAATATAGATGTGAGAGATGAAATAGTTGTACAATTTGTAAGTTGACAGTTATGGTATGTAAATATAACCTAATCTTGGGAGCTTCAAAGCAAAATTGTAATAATATATATTACACATATGTTATAATGTGAGTTTTTTTTAAAAGGTTAGTTTCTTAATTTCTATTTTTTAGTTGGTTATAAATCCAAATTTCCCTTATATTATTACTTTAACTTATAAGTGCTTTTGTATATAAAGTAAATTACACCTGTACTTGTGGTAGGAGTTTGCAATTGACAAAGAAAGAAAATAAAAAAAAATCATATATATGAAAGTTAGCCAACTCTCTCCATATGACTGTCACATCATCACACAAGAATATGACATGTATCATTCAACATTGTTTAAATTAAAAATCAATAAAATTAATTTAGGGAAAATCAAAAATCTCATCTTGTGTTAAATTCTCCGTTAAACCCTTTCTTAAATCATTTCTCTGAAACAAAAATAAAATTATAAAGTTATTTTAATAAATCAATTACTACTTTTATTTTACTTTTATTATTTTTCTAATTTTTTAATTTAATAGTCAATGGTCATCACTCGATAATAACTAAATAACTATTTGTATTGTAATTTAGTTGTTTTCTACCTAATATCTTATTAGTTTAGTAATTTTACTTTGAATATTGTCTTATTATTACTTTATGGTTCATATCTTATCATATGGCATTCTCTCTTTTCATTTTTGTGTCTTACGGTAAGTTTGTATCATTGACATGCAATTTTTTTTTTCAAGTAATGAGCTTTTGAGACGTTAGACATACCACGAAATTCAAGACAAATCCATTTCTCTTATATGGCTGTATGCAATAACATAAAATCTAAAAGTTTTACTTAAATAACTCTTTAATTTTTGCTTTCTTTTTCTTCTTTTCATACGAAACTCTTGAGATCAAAATATCTGATATTTTTGTTGTGTGTATTCATGATAGTGAACAAATATTAGAATATATAAAAATAATCAGACTATACATGAAAATGTATAAATTGATATTTAGAGTCAAAAACGAATCTAACAATAAAAATTGTAAGTACATAAGATGAGTCTAATTTTATTAACTATACAATAACAAACAAAAAAATAAATATAAATTAGCGAAAAAACAATTAACAAAATTTTATCTCTAACAATTTTCAAAATAAACCCACGCGTAGCGTGGGAATTCGTCTAGTCAATACAATAAAAACAACAAAAGTCTCTCCAGTGCTGACACCTCCGCTTTTTGGAGTGTTCTAGAGGTGACACCTCAATAAAATTGATACCAAATCAAAACATTTCAAATAATACAGCTCAAATTTATCTTCCAATAATATAATTCTATTTTTCCACGTCACTCTTTCTGATTAAATTTCAAAATAATCATTTGTTTTGGCCCAACCAAAATAATAGCCCACTTAATCGTCCACTTAGAAGACAACAAAAAAAATCTAAAAACCCTTGGATTTTAAAAAACGTTGTAGGTAAGCATCCGAGAATAACTCCACCGCTGGCGTCCGATCTTTCCACCGTGTAATCGTGGTTGCCTCGCCGTACAGTCTCTTCCAATTGTGAAACCTCCGGTGCTTATGCCTCTGCTCCTGGCCAATCGTGCGGCCGAGTTTCTTTTGCGTTTAGGATCATATGCTTTGATCACCGGAACTCGGCGTAGACAAGGATTGGCTCAATAAAGGAACAGTAGAAGAAGAGGCTTAAGATTTATGTTGATACTGAAACCAGTAGCTCAAAGGTTGTGTATAAGTATTTCTCCAGTAAACTCACAGATCAAAGATCTTCCG